GTTGACCACGTAAGGCAACACCGTCCTGCTCCCATGGGCTTCTGTTCAGGAGGCAGATTCAGAGTGTGTCAGTCCATTCAGCTTCTAAATTGTCAGGGTCTCCTTCTCCTCTGGCCTCCTCTGGCCTCCTGTTTCTTTACGGCAAGGCTTTGGATGTGGTGGACCCCAAGGCTTCTTGTGCAGGAAGCTCTGGCCCCAGTGGGCAGTGTTGAGAGGGGCCGGTGGAGGTGACGGGGTCACTGGGGCACCTCCTAGAAAGGGCCTGATGCTCACCCCATGGAAGTGGGCCGGGTCTCGCCCCCGGGTGTGGGTCGGGTCTCACAGGGCTGAGTTGGTTACCAAAAGAACATGGCTTGCTCTCCTCCTTCCCCTCTCAACCCGATTCCCCTTCTGCTCACACTCAGGCCTCTCACGCATGCTCCTGCATTGTGATGCCATTCACCTTGTTTTGAGTTATCCAGAAGTTCCTCAGCAAAGGCTGAACTGATGGGGCTACCCAATCTTGGACTTTCAGCCTCCCAAAGAGTCAGCCAAACAAACCTCTTTTCTTTACAAAGAACCCAGCCTTGGGGGTGTTATTATAGTAATACCAAACAGACTAAGATAGTTCTGTTGACATTGGAGACTTACATATGTGCTTCAGGAGCCCATGACCCTGCCCCCCCACCAAAATGACCTCTTATGTAGGGGAGGAAAATTTCCAAACAAGATCTATACATGAGCAAACCACTTTGCAGGGAGAAAAAAAAAAAAGAAATCTTGATTCTGGCATCAGAGAGACCTGAGCGCAAATCAATTTGCTAGCCTATCTCTACTTCTGGACAAGTTACATAAACGGCACTCTTCTCTGCTGCCTCATCTCTGTAAAATGTGGGGGATAATCATTTGCTACTTCGTGGGTCACCATGAGAATGAAGTAATTGAATGTCTGTAAATCTCACCATGTGGTTGGTACTCAGTGGCTGGTAGATTTTATGTGTCCCCTCAATGTCAAGGAAAAACAGAGCTGCCCCCAGGAGAAGCTGACCCCACTCTGCGTGCTACCCAACGAAGCACAAGCCAGCAAACTAAGCCTCTTTGAGCCCGAGGAGTCTGGGCTTGCACAGTGCACTTCTCGTCGGGATGGTTTCGTGTGATCCACTGGCACTGACCAAGAAGCTCCACGTAAAACGTCCCACCCAAGGTGCAACACCCCCGTCGTGCAGGCCTTGGGAAAACCAGGCCAGGCCCCCCCCTGACTCTTCTCCTGGAGCTGTTGTCCCACCACCTTTGCCAACAAAGCCACTTCCTTGTCCTCGAGGCACCTCAGGATCCACTTCTCCTCCCTTTTGACTTTCATTTCTCATACCTTGTCTTGAGCCACATCCTCTGTGCTAGAAACAGCGCCCACTTCCTGTTGGCCCAGCACCTCCTGAGCACTTCCCCTCCACGCTGAGCTCTACCAGGAGTTTCGACACCGCATCTCTGGGGAGGTTTCTAAAGCAAGCTTTCCACCCTGGTTGGGAAACTGGCAAGTCGCTAGGTTCCCTATGAAGCGTGAAGCGTGCAAGAGACCCAGGCCTGGCCGGGGCCCTGGTCCAGGGTGGGAGAGCACATGCCTGCCAGTTCCATCTATCCCTAAGCTAGGAGAAGACTCCCCAGGCGGGTTCCTGAAAACTGGCACCTGGCTTTCGGGTTTGGCTGGGATGACAGGTACCGGTCAGTGTACTGACCAGCTTCAGCACCTCCACCCGAGCTCCGGCTCAGGGTGTGGTCTTCAGTCCTTGTCCTCCATGGGCCTCAATCTGATAGGAGTCCAGATACAGTCTATATCCAAATAACAATTTCAAGGTGGCATCAGATGCTTCCAGTTCCCGTGCACTTGAAAAGTCCTACAGCACTGGGTTCATATGAGATCCTTATCATCACACGAAGACAACATGGAGTATCCACCTGGTGTCAGTGCAAAACCTGCATTGCTCTTTGTCCATGCAACATGGACACTTTCACTTCCAGTTTGCAGACGTGGAGGGTGAGGCCGAGAGGCCAGTGGCTTCCCTTCCCAGTCCTGGTGGGGCCAAGGCTGGCACAGCAGCCGCCACTGCACAGCCTCTCCCTCGTCTGTCGTTTGTCAGAATGGACAACAAGAGGCCGTCCAAGGCCAGAGGTGTCATCGGGTAGTGCACTGAGACGATGATGCTGCAGTTGTTGGCTTCCCCTCTCTGTCACCAGAGAGTCACTCTTCAGGGATGTGGCCAGGTCTAAATCCTTGGAAAGAGCCAAAGTCAGGGAGACTGGCCTCAGACTGTCAATGGAGCCTGCCCCTCAGGACAAAGAAGTCCATGCCCAGAAACCAAGTTTAACAGTAGTGGCAGCACCACGGTCCCTGGCCCCTTCCACAGGCAGCTAGACACCCCCCAGGCATTGGGTTCCCATGGGGGTGCCTGCTGGATCACCCACAGAAGACCCCAAATGCAGCTCTTCCCACAGTGGTTCTGTTGCAAGACGTTCTGCAGAGCCAGAGCCCACACTCCAGACCAGAAGTGCTCCTTGGAGCCCAGTCAGCTGGATGAACCCATGGGTTTGGCCCCTGGCCATGCACAGGGTAGCCAAAGCCTTTGATCCCCAACCTCTCTCCCACCAGGTGACACCCTGGGAAACAGCCCCAACCAGTCCTCTTGACGAAGGTAGACAGGTCAGATTGATGGACCTCCTGAGCCCTGAGGCCAGGGCGCCCAGCTGCTGCCGGTGAGGAGTGCCCCGAGTGCCCATCCACTGGGCAAAGCAAAGCCAGGTCCTTCACCATATGCCTTGAGAGGGCACTGCCACAGGAAGAACAGGAGAGGCAGCACATAAAGGCTCTACGGTATACAGTATACAGGCGACGATGTCGGTAAAGCCTTCGGCACAGAGTAAGTCCTCAATGAGGAAGAGCTGGCAAGGTCATCCATTTGTTAAGTTCCCAAAACTAGAGTGATCTACAGCCGGAAAAATCCCAGAATAGGATTCCTCATGGCAGCCAGGAATGAGTTGTGTGTTGTGTGTCCCCAAATCAAACAAAGAGCACCTTCCCCTTCCACAGCTCTTGCACATACAAAATTACTGAGGCTCTGAGGGCCCCTGAAGTCTTGCATGGGGGCCTTGAAACTTGAATTATTTGTGTTTCTTAAGGGGAGTGACCATGCTCAGTTCTCCTTTTATTTCCAGAGCCCAGTACCCACAGGCCGGGGCAAGTCTGGGGAGGGCACAGGTGCCTACACGTTGTTAAAAGGCAGACGACTTCTAGTGGTTTCTCACCCTCACACCCTCCCAGCAGATTTCTTCAAATGATGATTGTCTCCGTGGCAACAGTGGAAGTCCTGCACACCTGAAACCCCATCCTACCCCCAGCCAGCGCCCAGGACAGTCCCCGCTGCACTGGGCCCTCCAGATCCCTGAACAAAGGTTATTTTGAAATGGCTCACAGCGCTGGAGGGTGAGTACTTTGTTCCTGAAACCAGGTGGTGAGATGACAATACTTCCCCTTAACCGTTGGGGCTTTATCAAACCAGGAATCACAGGTCTGGTGTGCATTAGAATAATCAGGTGGATTGCAAGAAAAGAGTGCTACCCAGACCCCAACCTAGGAGCAATCGCTGCAGAAACTTGAGCCAAAGAAGTCCTGCTGGCTGCGGTGGCGGCCATTGTTGAGCACAGCTCTGCAAGAGGGGACTCTGAGAAAGAAGCCACTTCTTGTCAGGCCTTTAAAAAAATACTTCCCTAAAATTGGCATAGCTCAAAGTCACCTGCTAGCTGTTGGGACAGTGCTAAAGCCTTTTTCCAGATCCAAAAATGTTGTTTCAAGTACATTGAAGCAGGAAAACCAATAAGGAAAAACTGTGAACTATCTCTACCTACGAGGAGGGGGTGGGGGACACCAAGCTTTTCCAACCTGCTCAGTGCCTGCCTGCCAGGCAAGTGACAATGCTGGGGATGGAAATCAAAAGAGAAGGACACAACGCCCTTTTCATTTAACTTCAAGGGCAAGTTCTTTGGTTTGCAGCATTTCCAACCCCTCACTGAGGACTCTCCCCCGGGGAACAGAGGAGGTATTTCCAGTCTGTCTTTAAAGAGCCCACAGAACAGCTCTAGAAGTCGGCTAGCCTTTTTGCAAGGTGAGAATTCTGGCTGCATTATTTATCTCAGGGAGAAAAGAGAATGACAAGAAGCGAGACTAACACCAGCAACAAACCGAATCAGCATCGTCAACACCAAGGAACAGATCTGCTCTGCGTTCATCCACTCAGCGGTTTATCAAGCTGTTACCGCAGGCACTGTGGGGGCTACCGAGAGGTTAAAATGGATGATTCCGGGTCTGTGCCCTTGAGGAGCTGACATGGGAAAGACAGACACTGACCAGTTACAGCGCCTTGGACTCACTCTGGCCAGGGGTAGGAACAGGCGAGAGGGGAGCAGCTACCCCGCTTGTAGGTTCAAGGCTGGGGGTATTCACCAGACGGAGAAGGACAGAGACAGGATTAGGAGGGATGCCTCTGGGCGCCCAGAAACCTGAACTCCAGCCCCAGCCTATGGCGCCTCTGACTTCCGGGTGCCTATCAGAATGCCTGCCACCCGCCACCACAAAGCAGGACAAAGGCTAATGAGAAGATGTGGCAAGCCGTTCTTAGAATTTTTAAGAAAGATGCTGAAGTCAGTACGATTGAGGGCTATTTTGTATTAGCTCAGCTTTTGATCTATCTGACACCATTTCTGTTACTGATTAAAATCAACCACTATTTAAAAAGTACCTCTTTCCTTAAAGATCTCCAAAGAGATTTCTCTGTTTTAATCAATTAAGGAGTACTTACTGAGCACCTCCCATATGCCATATCCTGTTTGACATCTATAAATAAATCTTAAAAAGTGCAACTAAGCAAGAGTCTATCAGTGGCATCCATCTTCCGGCTTCCCTTCCATTTCTATGGGTTTGGCACTCAATAAGTGAGTGCAATTTTTTCTTCAGGAAAAGATTTAGCCAATCATGCTTCTCTGGGTTTTTATTTTCTGTGTAAAGAAACGAAGTTGCATAGAAATCTGGACAACGGTGTTTGGCAAGAGCAGAACGTACTAGTTGTGAGGGCTGCTGTCCCCAGCAAGTGGACTTGCAGGCTAACATAGAAAATCCCACACCTATGGTGCCTCCATCAGTGACACAGAGAGAGAGAGTGACACAGAGCCCACAGTCCACCAGGGGCCACCCAGCCACTGTCATCCAGCAGGACGTGAACTGAACCTGCACGTGAGACTCCTTCCAACCTCGAGCCCTGCAGAGCTTTCTGGTGGGACTCGCCCGGGACTCTGCTCTTCAGGGCCCCAGGACAATGCGCCGACTCCATCCTTCCTCCCATCTTCTCTGAGTTGGGTCTGGGCACTCTTTTTCTTTAAGGGAACAAAGGGGAAAGAATGCCAAGATTACTGGTGCATTCAATGATTGAGAAATGTTTGCCATTTAAAGCTGTTTCACTTCCTGCCTGATACCACAAAGAAGCTTTTTAATTAAGTTAACCTTTACTTTCCTTAATGCCACTATGCGTCTGGCTCATTTTGCCCATTTTTCGTTTTCAAAACTGGGTTATGATAATGAAACACTTGGTTTCTATTGCTTACGACTACCAAGTTCCAAGTCTGTCGATTTAGGAGAAAAGTCAGGGGCAGCGGAGGAGAAGGACAGAGGAGAGGTGGAGCACGTGGGGATGGCTGGGCAGGAGGACAGGGATGGCCGGAGCAGGTCAGGTCTCCAGCCTGCTCTGAAGGCACCTGGCTGCACAAGCTGATCTGTTCCTGCGAGCCCTCAGGCTTTGGAAGGACAATGAGCCGTGGGTGATTCCCAGAGCCAGGACGGCCTCATTGGCACCCTTGCTCACTGGGCCCGAGGGTTGGCAGTGTGACTTACCCCAGCCATAGCCCAAAGCAGAAACACCACAAATTCCTTTGAGGTCCCCAGGACAGTTCCCAAGCAGGTAGAATCCTGCAAGAGTCCTGTTAATAGGACACAGCAATCATGAGGACCAGCGCTGCCCTCACCAAACTATACTGTTACCGCTAAAACCAAGTCTCCCTATGACTCACAGAATGTCTAGCTTAAAATCACCACAGCCATGGCTTCTTACACGCCCACCCTGTGCCAGGCAGTTGGCATTTTGTCTACACTGGTCACTTAATCTGCTCAGCATCTTGCAGACAGACACTGCTGTCTCTCTTTACAGATGAGGAAACAGAGACACAAAGAGGCTGAGTGACTGGATCTGGGTCAACTCCTGATGTAGCCACACCCAAGGGCTGAGAATGCAGGTTCAAGTTCTTGATCACCACACACACTGCTCCAGAGCTCTCTGGTCGACCCTGCACCCTCTGTTTAAGAAAGACCTGCTCCTGGCAGAGTGGCTGTTTGTATTCATTCAGTAGGTATATGTTAAGGGTCTGCTCTGCAGTTCCTAAAGCTGGTGTCTGTCCTCCAGAATTGCACAGTTTGTGTAGTAGCCACTAGCCACATGCAGTTTGCAATCACTGAAGCCGTGGCTAAGTCACATCACGATGTGTGGAGTGCAAGGAACACAACAGATTTCCAAGACTTAGTATGAAAGTTTTTTTGCTGATCACATGTTAAAATGACATTTTCAACCTATCAGGTTAACTAAACTATAGCATTTAATAAATTGTTGCACATTTACCATTTTTTAAAATGTCTACTAATCAATTTCCAGTTGCAGGCTGATTTCCAGTTGAGGCTCCCATTGTGCTCCTGCTAGGCAGCCCTCTCCAGAGGGACATTGAGGGGGACAACTGAACAGAGCTGTCCATATCACTTAGGAGGCAAAGAATGTGAAGGAAGTGCAGGGGAGTCAAGGGAAGCAAGATGCTAGACGGCAGGAGGAGCTCAGATATGAAGGTCAAGTGCTTGTTGGTGGTCTAGTAGATGGGACAGGTCATCAGCCACAGCCCTTGGGCCCCACCATAGAGATCAGGAACAATCTGATCAAGTTATAGGGGCTGGATTCACAGAGGATCAAACATCAGCTGCAAGAAGACTGTGGATTCAGTGTGGAACCAGCATCAGCTGAGATGTGAACTCTGCTCTGGTTTTCATCTTGCTATGATTCTTATTTGTATCCAAAAAGGTCACCAGCTAAGGATGTGGCTCAGTGGTAGAACTCTAGCCTAGCAAGCGTGAGCTCCTGGCTTTGAACCCCAGCACTGCATATATCAACATAAACATTCCTCCTTGAACTTCCAGGAGAGGTTGAAATCCCAGCTGCCTGATTGTGACAAACTCACCCCAGACTTCTCTGTGGACTCAGGACTGTGGCATTTCTTGCGCCCTTTGCTGCGTACTGGAGGCCCATTCCTCCCTTGCTGGAAGAACCCACTTTGGTGCAGAGCAGCCATGGGCCCAGCTCCAAGTGGTGGACCACAAGTGACCTAAGCCAACGTTGCCAGCTGCTTCTCTGTCTCCAGCCTCCCTGGGAGCTAAGGGTGGTGTGTCACCCAGTTCTGGGCAAAAGACCAAAGCCGTGAGGCCGTTGTCTAGAAACTTCGCTGGACAAAATGCGACAGAGTGGGTCTTGAAGCGCGGACGAGTGCTACTGTCATTGAACCTGTGGACCAGCTCTTCCCCAGCCTTCCTGATGGTCACAATGAACCCTCGCTATGAAAACAATACAGTCTAATGTCAGGTGTGCTGTGACTTGCCACCTCTGACACTCACTCCTGGTAGAGAAACCAAACATTAAAAGGGAAAATGATTTGTCCAGAAATGGAGACCACTCCAAAGCGCTCGGCCGCTGCTGCACAGCTCCTGGCCTGACAGCTGGCTGCACCCAGCTCCCAGTCCATCGAGAGGGAAGAGTGTTGAGGATGCGACTGTGGATTAGATCTCCATGGTGCATTCTGATTTCTACATAAACTTCAAAGCTATGGTGAAGGTTTGTCTCACCAATGAAACATGTGTAATTGTGTTACACACATACACACAACCGTTCCATGTGCAAGAATATAAGAATAATCTATTGCTCAAAAAATAATAATAAAAGATTTGGTCACTCTCTGTCTTTAGAAGCTTCAAAACACACTTTTTTCTTATTTTGGTTTTTCCTTTTTCTATATTTTTATTGTGCCTTGTAGTTGTACCTAAGGGTGGGATTCATTGTTACATATTTGTACATGTACAAAATAGAAAACAAATATTTACCTCGTTATTATTTTTTAAACCTCTCCTTTTTCTCCCCCATGGCAGACACTGTCGACCACCTACCCCATGGCAAGTCCCTCTCACCACTCACTATTTGAAGTGCAGTTTTCCCAGATGTGGGGAGCCATCGATGTGGAGCAAGTGGCCCACCCAGGGAGTAAGTCCTTATTAGTTGAGGTTGATCATGACAATTCCTCTCCCCTTGCTGGGACAGGTTAGGAAAGGATATAAGACAACTCTGGCCGACAAGCTGAGAGAGGAAGTTTCTGAGAGCCTTCTGAGAAAGCCCCATCCCAGGGGCCCCATCCCAGGCCCGGCTGCAGGAACCTCAGCTCCCAATGAGAGAGATGCCCACATTGTGCTCCTGTAACAGTCCTGGGCATTTCCAGTGGCTGGGACGAGGCAGGAGACACAGCAAGCTCTGCCCTATGCAGTTACTCAGAGGTCCAGGCCCAAGCTGTGCTGTCTTCAACCTGTGACTTCCAAAGTCACACCCCAATTAGCCAAATAGGGAGAGTGGCTCGTTTCCCTTGAGAGCATCTCCTAGAAGTTCAACCTAATGGCTACGGAAACATTTGTATTGTTGCTGGACCACATGAAAGTGCATGGCATAACCCTCTGCTGAATTCTCCAGAACTTCTCTGCACCACTAGGACTAAGCTCAGGTGTGTGCTTCAGAGGACCCTGCACCGAAATGCTAATGGGCCAGGTGTGCAGGTGGCACTCATATTCCATTGATATGATGGCACCCACCTGGCCACACCCAACTGCAAGGGAAGCTGGACTGGACACACAGAGTTGTGGTCTGGCTGTGTGTCCAGGAAGAAAATGAAACAGACTTGGCGCAGAATGAAAATACAGAGTTGCATGTTTATACTTACGCAAGATTTCAGAACTGTGACAGCAGAACCTTAAGGCAAGGATAGGGCCCTCCTCAGCTCAGGCACTGCACAGGTGGAAGGCTGAATCAGCCCTGCACAGCCGAGACGCTGGTTGTGGGCTCCACATCCTCCACCTGCTGACCCCTCATGGCACCCACAGCCCTGTTTTCCCAACAGCACCCTGTTTGGCAGCTCCTTGAGGTCAGGAGCCCCATCGCTTACCCGAGTGCTCATAGGCACTGGTGTGGCTAGTGCTGCCACTTAATCAAATTGATTCTAAATGTTCAGAGTAATGATTTCACAATGAAAAAGAGAGCCCACAGATTTGAAGGTTTGATGTGGCTTTGACAAAAGCAAATAAGATCCGTTTTGCAAACCAGGTTAAACGTGTGGCCTGCTTTCCTTGACAGCAGCTTCTAAAAGTGTAGCTTAATGACTCCACGAACAGTTGCGTTTTTATTGGAAGATCATAGTAAAAGTGCGCAAAATAACTCTCTGCTGAAATGGAGAATTCTTTGGCACCACCTGAACCGAGCTCATTTGTGTGTTTTAAAACAATTTGCATTTGGCCTTGTGCTATGTTGTTCTTGCCCGCAACGCGCCAACCGTGCCAGCATGAGATTATTTTGCAATGGTGCATATTCCTGTCGCCAGGACGGCCCATCACCCGTCTGCCCTCCTTTCAGCCAGGAAACAGTGACACAGTGGTTCCCTGAAGAAGCATGGTCAGGTGCTCACCTGGCAGCCTCTGAGCATTGAGGGTCCAGGAGGACTGAAAAATGTGTTCTTAGGGGATCGTGACCTTGTGTGGACATCCCAGGGTATCCTTGACAAAGCTGGCTGGTACAGACTATGACACACAGCCTACCGCTCTGCATGGTACTGCGCAGAATTCTGTAGGCAGCCAGAACACAGGGTAAGTATCCCTCTATCCACCTGGGTTTTTAACACAAGCATTACCCCAAACATGTGAATGGTGACACTGAGCTACAATGTTACAATGGCTGCTTGATGATAGCAATCTTTCAGCTTTATCATAATATTATGGGACCATCATCCTATATGTGGTTGAGCATTAGAGACTTTAATTGGCACATGACTCTTTCATACACACACACACACACACACACACTCACACGCACACGTACACTTTTATGCTTTTCACATGATGAGATGATGTTATACCTACAATTTTATATCTAATAGTTTCAACCCAATATCTCAACATTAATATCTTCCTATATCATTAATTATACTTTATACTTTCATGGTCTTAAAATAGTTTATTACGTGTATGTAAATACCAGGATTTATTGATTTATTTATCTTCTATCTTGGTTATTAAGGTTGTTGATCTCCAATTAAATTTTAAAATGAAAATCCTTAAACCTAGATCTTTAAAAACCTATTTCCTGAAAGTGAATTCCTAGGAGTTAAAAGGCTATAGCGTTTTAAGGCCCCTGGTCAGTCCTGCTACGTTGCTCTCCAGGAAGTTATCACCTAGTCTTGCTGTCATTGTTCACCGCTTCAAGAGCGTGACTGGATTTTAGGCACAAGCTGAGGTCCGCCCGCCGTGGCTCCGGCACCACACTCACTCAGTCACAGCAGGATCCGTGTGCACCATGGGTGCTTTGCAAGGGAGCCATTATCCTGTATCGGGAGGACAGTGGAGCATAGAGGACCACGGTGTCTTCCCCGCTGGCCCGGCTTTTTGCCCCAAGAGGAAAAAGAGCCACAGAGATGCTCAGGAGACATGAGGTAGGGGTATCGGGGGCAGGCAGCAGACCCCTTCAGACCTAGGGTCTTGGGGACAGTCCATTCATCCTGTTCTACAGGAAGCCAACCACCCCCAACCCCCTGAAGACTGAAAATTTGGGGAGCCCCTGGTGGTGGTCCCCTGCCATGAGCAGTGGCCTTCTTGAGGCAGACAGGGACATCAGCTTGCTCAAGCATAGGCAGCAGTCTTGGATCAGGAGGGAGACACTGATGACCCCGAGATCTGGTTTAGGGGGCTCTAGGGCAAAGGCAGAATACCGGGGAGCACTCTGGGAAGAGGCTCCTGCTATCCCTCAGCTAACAGGTGACAGCTCCATTACACAGCTAAAACAGGTTTCCTAAGTTTTCTTCAAATTTTGTAAGCATTTAATTGTTTTCCTCATAGTTGGAATTCATCCCCTGATCCTCACCCTAGGAGACTGAAGGGCACACGTGGAGGGTCACTTCCTTACTTCCGTTGACCTCTGTGGGGGGCGAAGGGCAGGGGCTGCAAGGGGCTCCGCCTCGCCCCTCTGGCTCGCAGCCTGCATCCGTTCCCGTGTGTCTGCTGGTGAGAGCGCCGTGGGTTAGCAGCAACTAGAGCTGAGTGCGTGTCGGATAAATGACAGTTAGAGGGCGTGCACGTTTAGCAAAATTGGGAACAGCACTTTAACTTACACTTCCCTAAAAACATAATTGTTTACTTAAGAAAAGCTTTTGGCCTGTTGACAGAAATTAGCAAATGAAAATATATTTTGACTCCAAAAAAACTATCAGTAGCTCATTTATCTAGCCTTACCTAACAGAAACAAAGTCTAATCAGTATTGTGATTTGTGAAGGTCAGAAATCAAGGCCTAAGTCTTTTCCACAAAGTTCAAGGCTCAGAGAGATTAGAAAAGAAGTCAATCCGTATATCCTTATCTAGTAGCTATTCCCTCTGTGTCCATCAGTCAACATTTACCCTGTCTGTCACTCACGCATCTAACCATCTCATAATGACAACATGGCAATGAATAGCTGCTGATTATCAGACACTTACTTGATATCATAGCACAGGCCAGGCTTATGCTTGTAACTCCCGTGCAGGGGCTTTTTTGTGTTGTGTAAGGACTCTTAGCCAGAGACCTGCCCTCTTAACATCTGTGCACATGTGCCAGGCACTGTCGTGGGCTCCAGCAATGCCGTGCATGCCTGGATCTCTGGAGCTTTTTCTTCTCCCTTGACTGAAAACTTTGGCCCATTGATTAGTAACATCCCCTGTTTCTCTGCCTCCTGTAACTAGCTATTATCCCCTCTCCTTGACTCTATGCATTTGACTGTTTCAGATGCCTCAGTGAGTGACGTCATGCAGAACTTGTCTTTCTCTAACCATTATTCGGCATAAGGTCCTTAAGCTTTGTGCGTGTCACGTATCACAGTTTCTTTTAAAGGCCAAATAGCATTCCTGTGTACGTTTATACCACATTTTCTTTATGCCTCCATCTGCCAGACGGCATTCCTCTAGGTTTTTTCCACGGATATATGGACAATATTATTAAACCCACTTACTAGATGAAACTCCTGAGTCAGAGAAGTCATGTAACCGTCCAATTTAAAGACCTAGCAACCATTCAGACCAGGTCTTGCCTAACTCCATCTCTTACAGGCCTGGCCCTATGTGCACAAGCACTGGGAGCCATAGATGAAAAGCCACGGGGGCACCTGAAGTACGAGGTGTGTTGCATATTTTCTAGAACCCAGCACACAGCCTGCCTGACAGCCGCCACCCAGTTCCCCCTATAAGGAATGAGTCAGGCGGGAAGCCCAGGTCCCAGCCCTGGAAGTCACATTCCAAAGGTCTGTTTCTGCCACTCCAAGTTGCTCTGCCACGAAACCCACGGAGCTCTGAAACGCTGGTCCTGGCCTTACCCCTAGAACGGGTTCTGTCCGTTCAGGGCAGAGCCCAGCTTCTGCTCTGTTCTTAGCTCAGCTGGGACTGGTACTCACTCTGTGGCATCTGCCATAGGTCAAGTGTCCCTGGCCCAGCTGAGGAGTGATCAGCAGACTGCCTGCCCCCAAGGGTTGCCCAGCCTGTGGGAGCTGAGCCTAGAACAGGAAAACACAATCAAGGAAGTTGCTGGAAGGGCCGCAGGGAG